GGTTCTGCTCATTGTAGGTGGTATTTCTTAGGAGGCAGAGAGCAGTGGTGTGGATGGGCCATGTGGTTGCTCTCAGTATTCTTCTGGGAAATAACAAAGTGAGTTGTTCCCAATTCAAGTCAGATTTTAATTTGTCTGGAGTCCTGCCCGAACTTCTGCCTTTGGAATTAGCTGTGGGAGCAGTAATGTGAATACAGCAACTGGAAAGATGGGTAAGAGAAGTGAATACAACTGGAAGGATGGGTGAGAGAATATAGATGACCACTAATTTAATAGCACACAGCAGGATAATCAAGAGCTGAAACAACTAGAGCCAGCTTTGGCCAAGCATTCCTTGGCAAGAGAAGTTTTGAACAGTGATCTATCTATCCTGCCTTGGTTTCTCTAGTGGGCTTACAAAGTGCTGAACAACTGATCTCTCAAAGGCTCAAAGGAGTCACTCAGAGTCACTAGTCATTTGGGAAAATCTGAATTTGTTCAAAATTATCAGGTTGGATAAACTTTAACATCCTCATTTTTTTTTCATATGTAATTTTACAGCAACACTCACAGTCCTGTCTGTAAAGGTAAGAAGGGGTGTGAAAAACAGATAATACTTTTAATTTGTCATGGACTACATCAATAATTCTCTTTCTGCTTCAGTAACTACCAGAATCTTTGAGGTTCCATGCAACATAGGGTAGAACAGCAACGTTCTGAGTACCATAGAATTTAGCTGAAAGAAATTTTGATGCTTCTGAAGTCCTCTAGTAGAACTAATAATGCTTTCGGAATGATGGTTAATCTTTTATTTTAGATCTCACTAGCCAATGTAGTCTGCATAAAATTTCTGAAAAAGTGGTATTTTGAAATGTTCATATAAGAGGGGCAGGCTGTACATGAGAGACTACAAGACAAAAAGGTCTTTGACCTTCCCCTGTTTCTGTTTTGTTCACAGGCTTGTCCTTTAATTCCTTAATCTTGAATTTCCTTGTTAAAATCCAGGTACATTGGTATTTATCACCAAGTGGGATATTGCAGGGTTTTGTAGTCCAGTTTGGTTTATATTAGGACTGGAAGGCATCAAATAAAAATAGACTCACTGTGAAAAGTGCTTGCACGTAAGAGGACAAGCCCTGTCCTGAAGAGTTTTAGGTGCTAAACAGTGAGGGAGACTGGACTATGGCAGAGATAATGGATTTTTATGGATTTTCTAATCCCCGTTTTTCAAATAGGAAGCAGGGTGTGATGGAAGATGAAAAGCAAGGAAGAGTTCCCAAAAGATAAATTCTCAGCCCATGAGATACAGTGTGGTCAGTGTATCTGTGCTGGCTCCTTGTCCTGCACAGTAACCACCAGGTATTTAGTCTATCTTCACTGAAGACAGATCTAATTTGTATTTCCTTCCCAATCCACCTCACAGTAATTCTTTTTTGTTGCGATATACTGAGTCATCTAGCCAAAATCACACGAGGTATTCCCCTAACAGTAGCTATTATTAAAAACTAGACTTGCTGTTGGATGCAGGTAAGATTTTCTGGAGATCATGGTGATGAAAGATAACTACAAGCAGGTTTGGTGTAATGAAAATCATCCTTGGATTATCAGTGTTGGGTAACAGCCCCTGATGCTTTCATGGCACTGATGCTGAAATCATCAAACATCAAAATTCGTTAACATCTTGAATGCAGGGCAGTGGGTTTCTAGGGTTTCTTGCTAGCATGCTCCTCTTTAATAACTCTTCTGCTCTCCAGCTGATTAGACTTTACTTAGGGGCTCAGATGACAACTCCTTGCAGTATTTCGTCCATGGTGAAGACTGTGACACAGGTTGGGCTGTGCCAGACATGCTCTTCCAAACTTCAGAAAAATGCACCTCAGGGTGCATCCTTGCATTGAGTTAACAGTTTTTTGTTCTCTGAATTTGTCTTATCTGCTTTGAACCTACAAAAGTATTGAAAATCTATATTAATGTACAATTAGCATCACAGTTTTGCTCAAGTATTGTGTATGACCCATCACAGACGCAGAGATAGTACAAATGGGCTTCGAGGTCCCAGAGCATGAAGACACCTAAGATTTATGCTTAAATGGGACAGAAATAAGCTTTGCAACCACACGAATAAATTATTCACACCTTTTTGATGGATTGTCGTGTTCGACTTGCAACCTCTTGCAATTTTCCATTCAAACGAAAATGCCCTGGAAGTATTTTAATGTAACTTCTATGTCTATCCATTATAGGCAATCCCTTGAAGTTCTATGGCTTGTTTTCTCCCCAGTGGAAATAATCTGGGATTGTTTGGAGCTTTTTTCATTTCCCTTCCAAATGTCTAGTTTTGACTTTACCAACCACATCTGCTCTTACCATATGCTGCTCTGTATAAATGGGCTGGGCAAGACACCCTCTGTCTCCCAGGTCTGATATCCTTCAAGAAGATACCTAATGTCTGGCCAATTGTTGCACCAATAGTTTTTTCAATGTGCAAATATCTGCTTTCACTTAGTAAGCTCATATAATGTGGATAATCCAGGGCAGACAGCCTGGGATTATACTACCTGTTTCAACTGTGAAGGCTGCTTGCCAAAAATACTTTATTTGACTGTATTGGCTGGGTCAGTCAGAGTTTAATGGCACCTCATGGTAAGGGGCAATCTTAGAGAATGCCAGACATGAAGTACAGAACTGAGTGTGCCCACTCAGGCCTGACCAAGAAGATTTACCAGTAAAGCTGTTTATACCTATTGGTTGCATAAAACTTCTCTAGTGAAGTCACCAAGGTACTATTCAGTGCAAAATGTGAGGAGTCAAGGTATTCTGCATAGACAACTTCAGGATCATCAGGTTTTCTGGCAGAAATTCCACAGGAGGCCTCCATTGTAAAAAATGCTGCATTCAAATGAAATACACTTCCAATACCACCACAAAAGGTGAAGACTGGGAGTAAGCAAACAAATCTGCTTTTTATTAAGCACATGGAATAGGATCAACATCTTACTTCTCTGGGGTGGAGCTCAAACAACTGCTACAAGGATGCCTTAGGAGCAAAACCAATCCCATAGGCACCCGTTGCTTTAAGTGAAAGACATTGTACCCCTGCAAGAAAAATGCACCACAGAAGAGTGGAGGATCTGTCATCTTCAAATAGTCTTACTACCATATGTGGTGAGACCATGACCCTCATTCTGTTTTAACTTCACCTATTAATATTACTGGAAGCAGGGAACATGGAAAATGAAAATCTCCTTTTTAAGCTTAGTGCAGATTAAAAAAAAGCAGAATTGGCCAGATCCCAAGGTACCACTCCTAAAACAATAAGCAGGCATGACAAATAGAAAGCTTTTCCATTTAGAAAACATTAATGTCGTTATTATTAAATTTATGGTTAGATAAAATCTCTGTTTATATACTACCAATTATGTGTGATATGTTATGAAGGGAGGATCCAGATTTTTAGCCCAATCGTACAAGCAGTGGCAGAACTGAGCAACATATTTATGGACCTATATAGTCTAGACTTGTTATCTTACCCTTTTCCCACTTCCCCCACCATTTTGCCAACCTTCATCTGGCCAATAAATACATGGGAACCAATTTCTGACAGAGTTAATTACCTCTAATTGTGCCCCTCTTGTTATCTTACCAGCCTTGACTCACCATAAATTGCTCCAGTACAGATGCTGGCAAGATAAGAACTCTAGATTTTCTCCATATGTATAATATGTATGGATTTATTTATAATATCTGAACATGTTAGATATACTGCTGTGGTAGACTGGATCAGTTATTTCATGACTGCTAGCATTGTACAGCTGTGCTTGCTGCCTTGGGGGTAGACACAGAGATGTAATTCCTGCCCTCTGCTGCCTGCTCCAGCCTAGGGCATTGGTGAGATACTTTCAGTCATGACCTAACAAAGTCTGGGTTAATAAGAATCAGGGGAGGATCAAGGGAGTAGCATTGCTACGATGACATAGTGCTTCAGCAGAGGCCAATGCACAGTATGCTGGAATAAAAAATAGTTAGGTATCAATAAATAAAACATAGAAATTTAGGTTGGCTGGAAAAATGACACAATTTATCTTTTGGCATTTCCATTCCTGACATCTAGAGGCAAACCTGACGCCTGAAACATCAGGAAAGATATTGAGCAAGGCCTAATTCAAAATGAACTTCTGACTCTGAAAGGCATTTTTAATCAGTTAGGTTCCAGGGTCCTGGCTTATATAAATGTAGGAATGCTATTCACCTCCTTTGCAAAAAAAAAAAAAAAAAAAAAAAAAAAAAAAAGAAAAAAACCCCCAAAAAAAAAAAAAAAAAAAAACAAAAAAAAAACCAAACAAAAAACAAAACAAAACAAAAAAAAATACCAAGCCCACAACGAAAACACCCTAAGGGGTTGTAATAAAAACCCAAATACATTAAACCAAATAAAGATGGGGGGAAAAATTAAAAGAAAATAGTATTATTGTCAGGAAATTGATTCCAGGGAAGTATACATTTTTTGATCAGGTAAAAGTTGATTTTTGGTTGAACTTTCTGTCTCAAAAATTACAGTGAGATGGTTTGCATTGGTGGGGGTAGGAAATAATTTTTTTGATGTCTCTGAGTTGTGTTTGTACACCTCTCAAACTCCCCTTCATCTTTTACTTTTGAGTGGGGTTGCACAACCCTTTCAGCAGCCTCTCCCTGGGACCGAACACTGCCCTGTAGCATGGAAATCCCAGCTCAGTGACATAACAAATGTGGAAGTAACAAAAAGTTTAAGAAAATGAGACTTTTCTTGAGGAGAAAAACTGAAACACTGGGTCACCTGCAAAGCTGAAAGATTTGATGTGCATCCTGAGTTCTCACTACCCTCAGATGTTTATTATTGTGAATTTTCCTTCAGGCTATGGTCATTCTTTCTTCTCCTCCAAACTCTGATTCCGTGCACAGAGGTAGTGTACACACTGAACAGTATGAAAAATCTTTTGTTGTTGCTATTTCTAACATTTTCCTTCTGTATTTCTGTGTTGCAGATATAGATGAATGCGCTTCAGATTCTCATCAGTGTAACCCCACCCAGATCTGCATAAATACTGAGGGGGGCTATACCTGTTCCTGCACTGAAGGCTACTGGCTGTTAGAAGGCCAGTGTTTAGGTAAAATTCTCATGTGATATATGGTATCTGAGTATCCATGAATGTGTACCTCTGACTCCCTGAAATAACATCACTAAGAACTTTTGGCAAGTACACAGTTAAACCTTCAGCTATGTGGAGACTGTCTTTTGTCTCTGTAAGTGCCAGTGAGATGTTTGGCAGAGAGACTCCCTCACAGGACAAAACTGTAAATGCCATATGACTAGCATCATAATAGTGTGATAACTGGGCTTTTCATATTCCCAGTCTGAAGGACCCCCTTTCACGTAAGATCAATTGCAAGCATGTGTGCATAAAGATTTTTGCCCAAACAGACCTGTGCTTTCCTTACTGTAACAGTGTGGACCTGAAGGGGTCTGTATTTGGTACCAAGAAATGGGACTGGCAGTAAATCCTTAGTCAACCAATTATTTTGTTTGGGGGTGAGAAAAAAATTACCTCTAGACTGGGTGCCATTTCACAATCTTCCATGCGTTTTATTTCAATTTTATTATTTTCCTTGTAGCAATATCCTGTTCATCTTTTAGCTCAGTCCTGTTGAAAAAACATCTCCCAACAAACAGCACAGTAAACAAGACTTTCATATCTCCTCCAGCCCTTTCCCCTCACTTGACATGCTCATGGGATGATGATGTAGAAGTTAATTTTAGGTACACAGGTAGGACCTAGGAATCAGCATACAACTTTTTTAAGAAAACTTGCCCATTATTAGTTTTTTCCGTACAGTGCAGGCTGTTTGGTGCCAGCTCTGCAGAGCTGGACCATCCTGTCACACCTCCACTGGAAGGACAATGGGCTTTCCCTGCCCATTTCTCCCTGGAGCATCTCCAGTTACTTTCCAGCTTTCTCCCTAGTACCAATTCGGTGAAGGACTCATTGATGGCTGCTTTCCTGACTACTGCAAGCAGCTGCTGTATAATTCACCTGGCAGGCACCAGGCTGAGCCCTGTCCAAGCTGGGGTCTGTGCATCCAGAGCCACTTCAGGGAGCCCCTGTCTTGTAGTTCCCCTGGGATAAGAAATCTCCAAGGCCACTGCTCCTTAATAAACCAACTTCTCTTGGGAAAAAATAGCTTGTGCTGGGGAATGTACAGGCATATGTGATAGGGTGGGGATGAGGGAGGGAAGGAAGACAGATTCTGCTCTGCATTACCTGCTCTGTTACCCATTTACTTCTCCCAGTTACAGGCCAAATGAAAGGGTTGTATGCAGCATTCAGGATTTGAACATAAATCTAAAATACTCTCCTGCATGATGGTTATAGCAGAGAACTGAAATGGCTGCATTGATGAATTGATTTGAGTACCTGATTATGCTATTTAAAATAGGGAATAACATCCCAGTATTGCCCTATTTAAGTAAGCATGGGGTGGATTATTTCAAGGCAATGCAAAAAAGGAAAAGCAAATTGTGTTTCGAGTTGCTATATTTTCCCCTAAATTTCAAAGAAGTATTAGTTTTCCATACTTTATACTGGCTTTGGAGAACTGATTTTTGCTGCCATAAAGCCATAAAGGAATATTTGCTGTAATCAGAGGGCCAAGTTGGGAGTTAGAAACAGATTTTTTTGGTGCACTGTTTGTAGTGCAGTGGAATTCAGTGGAATTACTGATTACCAATTAGTGTTAGTAAATCACCATTACAAAACCTCCACTTCTAGCTGTTTCAATTATCCTGTGAAGTTTACACAGAGGAGCCAATGCAGAGTTATCCCCATGACCCACCCAAAGAAGCAGCCTTGTAGAACTCCTTATCCTCAAAATGTAGCACTCTTGAGATAACAGTCCTGCAAAAGACAAAGCATGTACTTAATGTAATGCATTGTGTCAGTGCAATGGGGAATTAATTTACTTAAAACCTGTGTTATTTTTGTAGGATTTGGTGGAGCCTGCTGCTGGTGTGCTCACCACCACTGACCTGGCCTTTAGGTTATCTTGCTGACTGCATATAATATACTGGGTTTTCTATTGCATAAATTTAGCTTCAAAGCTTTAAAGCAGCCGTTTTAAAAAAATCTCCTTAAATCAAAAGCCAGTTGATACAAAAGGAAATGTTAAGGCTTTGAAAGGATAACTATTCCAGGTGTTTCATTTTAGTTTTTAGTTCTGAGGCAAAAATCTTCTAGCACTTACCATCTTATATATCTTATAGGATTTTCTTGTGCTCATAGCACTCAGTGGCATGCATTGCTAATGCTGCAATTCAGCCCAAACTGCTATTTTGCATTAACTTAACTGTTTATAAAGTAATTTATCAGTTAAAAATTCATATGAAAAAGAGAATGTGACTATTTGGAAAATAATCTTTCAAAAATATCCTCACTAAAAAAAGAAGCCTGTAGTAACAAACACTGCTATTCCAGTGAGCAGCTTTGGTATATGTGGAGGGAAAGAAGGTTTCTATTTGGATTCTGCCAAAATTTCACTGCAATGTTGGCTGTGGTTGTGCTGGCAGCCTGTGCTGCCAGGTATCCTTTGAGGGAGCTGCTTAAAGGGACAAACTGCGCTGCCTGATTTAAACTGAAGATTACAGCAATGACAATCAATTCATCAGACACACTGTAAATGTCAGATGTGGATAAAACCACGTTACCACATTCTACTGGGGGGAGGTATATTTTAAGTCTAACTCCATGTCTGAACGCCTGCAAGTTTGGCTGTTATGTCCATGACCAGTGTGCTGGGTTATTTCTGTGTTATCAGTACTGCTGGCTCGGTGTGCTGGCTGCTTTGTATCTCACATGGAAATGCAGACCACTCTACTTTCCATCCTTCCACCCACAGATATAGATGAATGTCGCTATGGCTACTGCCAGCAGCTGTGTGCCAACGTGCCTGGGTCCTACTCCTGTACGTGCAACCCTGGCTTTACCCTTAATGACGACGGGAGATCGTGCCAAGGTATGTGTATGGTAAACCACGGCTGAACCTCGGGCCCCCTTCAGCCACACCCTTAAAACTTGCTTGCTTTTTGGAACACAAGTAACCCTCCCAGCATTGCTTTTGAAAATGTTCACAGGTTTGTCAGACAGGTTTTTCTGTAGTTTTACAGTACCTCTGAGGGGTTCAGATGCAGCATGACCAGTGTATCAGAAGAAATATGCAGAGGCCCAAACCTCAATTCACTCAATTCAGTGGAATTACCAAATTCAGGCACTGAATTTGGTATTAAAATCTGAGGTTGTGTGACCCAGCTGAGACAGGAAACTTTTGTCAGACCAGTAAATCAGAGTCTCTCAAGACCCAGACTATAATCCCAAGCATTAGACCATCTTTTGCTGTGGTGTGCTACCTCAAAGTCAATACAACCTCTTCACAGTCTCCCTAGCAAAGCAGGGAGCATCTTCCCACATGCTGTGGGAGCAGGTCTGTGCTGATGATGCCCAGAAGTTGTTAATGTCCTACAAGGAAAAAAATATTTGCCTTAACCTGAGGTATCCATAACGACCCCTCACCATTACATTATCTTTCTCAGGAAAATCCTGCTGCATTTTTTCTCAGGTCTGTTATGACAACATTGGTTCAATGGTTTGCAAATTGCAGGATAAGGACAGAAACAATTGCAATAAAAATTTCATCCCCATCTTCCATGTTATTTTTTTTATTGAAGATATTCCCAAAATGCTTCCCTGCCACACGTGTTGGGCTTCCAATGTGCTATTCCCAGGCATCAATCTGAATCCAAATAAATAACACTGACTTGGTTATATTTTTTCAGAACAAATCATTCTGACTGTGTAGCTAATGTCTTTGAAATGCTCTGCAGTAAAAAGAATGAAAATGGAGTTTGGGGAGAAGTCACTGATGAATTTGGCATTGGTTTCCCATAGATGTGAATGAATGTACAAGTGAAAACCCTTGCACTCAGACCTGCGTCAACACCTATGGCTCTTTTCTCTGCCGCTGTGAACCTGGCTATGAACTGGAAGCTGATGGAGTTAACTGCAGTGGTAACTCTCCAGTTTACTGTTTTGGTTTCTTTAATTCCATTAAGTTTACTTTTTCAAAGCTATTGTTTTGTACATACTTTTTTAAAAGTTATTTGCCTTGGTCCGTGGTAGCGTCAGGATAACTGCAACTCATATGATCTTCTTTCCAGCTAAAGCATTCAGCAAATACCCAGAAAAGCTCAGTGGAGGAGGGCCATAAATTGTTTTAAAGAAATAAGTTAAATATTCAAAAGCTCCAAGGTAACAGCAAAACATAGGAAAGCACTTTGTAATGCTGAACAGGAAGTTTTATTAGAGCAAGTAGAGATAGTCCTAGAACATTCTTCCATGATTAAAGAAATACTTTATATAAAGCACTTTTCCATTTGTCTGTTGAATGCATGTATTTCTCTTGCTCTTAACGACTGCTCACTTCTGCCTGAAATTTTCCCCAGTTTCCCCTGTATGGCTCTGGCTTCACTTTAGAAACAATATATGATTTCTTAGTACAGTTATTGCTGACCTGTTCAGCACACAGTAGAATAAATTGTGCTTATGTCACTGTAATTTTTCCTCTGTGATTTTTCTTTTTCTTTTATTATTTTATTTTAATTGAAGACAATACTTATTTCTTTGCTTATTGTTCCATCAGCCTGATAAAATTAGAGAATTCAGCCAATATTTTTGGGAGGAAAAATGCTCTGGAAAATACTTGAGTTTTAACTTACCGTAAACAGATGTAACATACTGTTCTGAGAGAGAAGACATGTGAGATGCAGTGTGCATGATTAGTGTTTCCCAAGATATTTTTCCTGCAAATCTCCTTATTATAAGGGAAGGAACAAATAATAAATATCTAAAGGGTCTTAAGAATTTACATTTAGACTGCAATAACTTAGTGTTCTGCTTTCTGATGGATTTTCTTCTTCTAAGTTAGACTCAGTGTTTTTTATGTGTTCATCTCCTGAGCTACCTGGGGGTCTGAACCAGATAAGTTCATTAAGTTCATTGCAATGCCCAATAAGGTGGTGCTTGAGCCTCATCCATGTCTGAGAGCAATGTCAGCAAAAGGGTCTTTCCACCATCCAGATATAGAGCAGAAAAGCTTTTCCTGACAATCTTGTGCAAGAAAATGTTTGACAAAGAAGGTCAAGTTTCCCAGGATGAGCTTCTTCCACTTCCCAGAAATCTGAGGCAAAATAGACATCTGAGGCTCACAGAGGGAATGCCTGGTTGGGAGGACATTCTTATGAGACACTCAGGATTCAGATTTACTTCAACAGGAGCAGGGTTATTCCATGGCCTAGCAGCCAACTTACCTTGAACCTGGGAGCCATTCTTGCCCCAATTCAAAGAGAGAGGCAGAGATTTCAATCTGGCTTCCCCAATATCATTATTTCCTAATCACAGAGGTCTTCCAAGTGCATTAGATATGGTCTGAAATGACAACCTCCTGTTGTCTGCACATAGTCAGCAGAATGACAGGAGTGTTCAGGAGCACTGTGGGCTCGACAACAGAAATGTAGGACCCTCAGGGCTCTAAGTCCCTCAGCACCTGACAGCAGCCAAGCACCAGTTATACAAATCCAATATGCTGGAGGTGTGGGCTAGCATGCCAGAGGGTGCCTGATATCTCAGTCACTTTATGGAGTCAGCCCTCAGTCCATGTATTTAAAAGAAGGTGTTTATTTCAGTGAACTCATGGGGGAAACTCACACAATAACAGGACTATGTAGGTGTAGAGTTCCTTTCATCTCCCTTTCGATAATCCGATTTCAGCCCTAAAGCCACTTGGATATATTTCAACTTCAAATACTTTCCAATTCATCTGCACAAAACACCAGAAGTGGATAAATGGACTGAGCCCAGTGTAGAAGAAAGGGAAATTCAGTCTGAAGAGTAAAAGTGATTTGCCCGGGAGAGTCAATATGTCAGAGCTGGGAATAAGAACTTGGGAGTTCCTGGCTGTGGCTCTGGCCTTTGTTTCTTTCTTCCCCTGAACAGGGAAATAAGGAAATGATTAGTGGCAGCCTCTCTGGGCCGTGTGCCTTTGAATGTGTTTTCCCCTCAGTCAGCCATGCCTCCATGGGCAGCTCTCAAGTTCATCTTTCTCACTCAAGCACAGTTCTGCAGAACACAATGACTGGTTAATTCATGGGTGCAAGGGGCAAAAAGCACAGTTTCTGCTTTCAGTCAGATATTTGACAGACTGCCTAGCTTCCTGGGTCTCTGGGACCCAGTATGCCTGACCCAGGCTGGGATGTACTCTTGTAGACTTGCTGGAATGACTCAGAAGTAACTGACTAGAGGCTAAGAAGCATAAAACAGACAGGGCTGGCTGCAGGAGTTCTGCTGGAACCCATGTGGTCCTGGGAAAGTGAAGCTTTCTCTCCAAAAAAAAAAAGGGAAAAGAAAAAATAAAAAAAAATTTAAAACCAAACAAACTACTGCCAAGTCCTTCCTTTTAAATTACAGCTGCAGCTTTGTTGTCAGAGTATATCTCTGACGTAAAACAGAAATTAAAACATGGTCAACTGGTGACAGGTGTTAGAATATAAATAAATAAAAGCCATACATTGTGTTCAGCAGCAGCTTTGCTTTCCTTAGGAAAAAAGTGTTTAATGAAGAACTTGTTGTATAGCATTTTGTCAGGTTGCTGCAGAGCCCTAGGGAGTCTCCAGCTGATGTAATGGGCAAGTAGTCTGGATGGCCACCTGCCTGCAGGACTGCTCTTTTCACAGTAAAGCCAAAGACACTAAACTTTGTTTTACCACTGCAGACATGGACGAATGCAGCTTCTCAGAGTTCCTCTGCCAGCACGAGTGTGTGAATGGGCCTGGTTCTTACTACTGCACCTGTCCTTCAGGATATAACTTGCTTGACGACAGTAGAAGCTGCCAAGGTAACATTCCTGCACTGATTAAAACCCCCAGGGACCAGAAAATGGATCCTGTGTCTAGAAAGAGGTTTTCAAGAATTGAGATGCTTGGTCTTGGCATTGCACAGTGAAATACTTGTAGGGGCCAATTATTCAATTCTGGTAAGAATGTCATTACATGTATATTCCTGATGAGATTAATTGGTGTGTTCTTTTAAGTAAAGGTTTATTGGCTAGGAAACAGTACTCAGGAAAGACCTCAAATGCTCTCTCCTCGGCTGCACATCTCTACTTTTCCCATTCTCTAAGGTTGGAGAGTTTGAGCAGCCAATTCCTTTCCCTTTTTTTTTTTTTTTTTTTTTCAGCATTTAGCATGAGGGAGCACTCTAATAAGCAGAAATGAATGGAGTAAAAACTGGTCTTAAAAGAGGGGACAGTTATGAAAAAGCCACCTCTCACAGTGCAAGAGTTTTTTGAATTTTGGCGTAATTCTTTAAGACGGAAACTAGTTTGTAGGAGTGGTATCTTGTACATATTTCCCTCCTTTAGCCATTCTCTCATTCCTTATGTTTTAGATATCAATGAATGTGAAATAAGAAACTTCACCTGCACTTCACAGCAAACATGTTTCAACATCCCAGGAGAATATAAATGTTTAGACCCAGTACGATGCGAGGAGCCTTATCTCCAGATAAATGAGAAGTGAGTAACATACCTACAGCCACAAAAGCAAATTCTATCTGTGAGAGTTGTAAAGTAAGCAAAATCTAAAGTAAACCAAATAAGCTGTAATTTTACACCACAGCTATGAAGTCTGTCTAAAGAGCTATACATATATGCTATTGCTACCTTTACCACTGGCAAGCTTTATAAAAATAATAAATTGCAATTCCTTGCCAGGTCACCAGGTACTATATGATATGATATATCATACTCAGATGTATGTAAAGTTAGACTGGAAAAACAGATACCAGTTAGCTGAGAAAGCAGCAAGGATTGTGATGCAATAAGAGACACATTATTAACTGACTTCACATATTCTCAGATGCAGCCTGTTTATTAATAAGAATATTTCCTGCAAATGGTAACTAGTTTATGCCTAGGAAGTACTTTAAAATACTAGAGGACAGTTAGAGCAGCATACAAATAGTTTCTTATTTGATCATAATCCATGCAAACTGAGATTTGAGGATTCTAGTTCCATGATCTGCAGTACTCACTAGAGGTCAGAAAAACAATCTGAATTTCAAGTGTTAATAGGTAGAGAATATCCTTGGAGCACATGCTATTGTGTAACACATCTTTAAGACTGTGCAGTTCCTTCCCCTCCTGGCAAAAGAAATATAACTGGATAAAGGTTCATAAGAAGCAATGAGGATGATCAAAAGTATGGAATAGCTTCCTCGTGAAGAACAGCCAAGTTAGAGCATGTCAGCCATGAACAGGGTCAAATATGAAGCCCTGAGATGGGTGGGGAGGATGAGCAGGGATTGGCGGGCTGCTCCCCTTTCAGTAGAACAGCTGGGAGAATTAGGTGAAGTCAGAAAGAGGCCATGCAGAGAGATGAAGGGGGCTGTGGAGCTCCAAGCCTCAGGAGGCTGTGGATGCCAAACATTCACGTGGGGAGCTGGAAAAGCTGATGGATAAGAAATGCATTAATAGTTGAAAAGTAGAAAGAAGAAATTTTTGTTTCAATGATTCCCTGAGTCACAAACAATTGGAAACTGTTGGTGGAAGTGTCCTATGCTTGGCTTGCTCTCTTCTTCCTTAAGGCACTGTATTTGATGTTAGAGCTTTGGTTTGATCCAGGATGTCATGTAGTATAAAAAAATCTGGTGAAACAAAAATCACTAACATTTATATAGCACTATCAGTGAAATTATCTAATAATAATTTGGGGACAGTTCAGTTTAAATTACTATCCGAACAAGCATGTACTGAGTATTCTGCACCTGCAGGGCTGCTTCAAAGAAAGTTCACATTTTTGAGTGATCTAAGGAGAATGCCAAGGTATTTTGGCCAAGAAGACAAGAAAAAGGAGGCAGGATATAGGCCAGAATAGCAACACAGAGAATGCTAAAAGTGAGAAAATTCATTAAAAGTTTCATTTATTCTTTTAGCTGGTCAACAACATTATTTATTTATGTATACACCTATATTAGCATATAAAGAATCAAATATTACAGCAATTTGTTACCCCTGATGACAATTCTATCTCTGACAATCAGCCGCTGCATGTGTCCAGCTGAAAACCCTGGGTGCAGAGATCAGCCGTTCACCATCCTGTACAGAGTGATGGATATGGTGTCTGGGAGGTCTGTGCCTTCAGACATTTTTCAGATGCAAGCAACAACTCGCTACCCTGGAGCCTATTACATCTTCCAAATCAAATCAGGGAACGAGGGCAGGGAATTCTACATGCGGGTAAGTCTAGTGCTCACTGGGGGAAAACGGGGAGTGTCTCGTCATTAGCTGAATGTCCTGATAGCACAACTGAGCTTTTCGTGGCCATCACTTAAACCTTCAGTATGAGGCATTTTCTTACACACAGACGTGCAGAGCAGTGTGCTGATCTGCAGGAACTGCTGGATCTCTCAGGAGAGTAACCTACCCAAAGCAAACATGCTTCTCCTATGAGACAGACAGTAGGTTTAGGAAAGCCCAGAGCTGTAGCCATGTCTAAGAATAGCTCAGGTCTCCCAAGCTCAAAAGAAACTATTGTGCAGAACTGTTTTTTATTTGATGGACAATCAACAACTGTCACCAAAAGACTCAATGTTTCTTGTCTGTTTTATTAAACTTTTTCATTGGAAATTGAAAAATGTGAAAACCAAAAAAGTAAGTAAAAACCAATTTTTTTGCTTTTATGCCAACAATTGACTTTCTGGGTTCTTTGCCTTCATTTGTTATGAATTTTTTTCACTGAGAACACATATTTTATGTAGATGCTGTTAGAGGAAATGTAATTACCTGAGGTTTTTTAATTTGTTTTCCTCAGAAGATCTCTTTGTTCCCCAGTAATCTTTGCCAGACTACCGACATGCTGAGATTACAGGGGTGTCTACAGAGAGTGGGGCACATCCATAAGGGACTGTGACACTCAGGAGGTTGATTAAGTCCTGTTCTATGGCTACTGAAGGTTCCCATCCCTCACTGACATGGGTAGTGGGATAGATTCCAGGACGTATTTCTCACAGGAACCTCAGATTCCTACTGTAAGAAAAGGAAAATGTTCCAAAATCCTGAATTGACAAGCAGTCCCATTACAATAATTTACATCTCACAAGAGCTTTCCTGTTGCAAAGTCATTACTGATCCCACTGACCTTTTCCCCTCATCTGAGCTGACCTAGCAGGTGCTGAGGGTGCTGGGCAGTGGGAAGGCATGGCCAGGTGACAGGGACACTGTGCCCTTGCTGAGGCTCTGGGACTCAGCCTGGCATGGACCAGGCAACATGCCAGCACCTCCTCATGGCTATGTCAGCCTTCTCTGATCAAAGGTAACAAACACCTAGTTTTGAGGTAAAACTGGACAGGTAAAACAGGACCCACTGTATCTATGTGGAATGGAAAACAAACTGCAGTTGGTTTTAACATCAGCAGCTTTGGTTTTTAAATGCACATAATGCACTGCTCTGGTCAGATATTACAAAGGTCTGCTTCTATTTAATATAGGACTGGTTTTCTGAAGTGCCTTTTCACATTCATAGCTCTCTTTGGAGGGTAAGGTTTGTGCCATCAATATACACAATATACCACAAACCCAGGCCCCATTCACATGGGAACACCTGTTCTCCACGTTCTGTTAATAAAACTTCTTCTGGGTGTCCACTGCTTCACAGTAACAGTGTTCTTTACATCAAACTAAAGAGTACCACAAACAAACAAATAAACGAAGAAAAAGGTATCATTACTTGTTTATAGCCTAGATCCAAGTTTTCATCTTTTTTGGGCAATATCAAGCATAGAAGGTAGTAGTTTACACTGAGAAGAAGCCAAATGCTGAAATGAAACTCTGTCCCATCACTTGCAGTGGTTTCAAACAATGAAACAGAAAACATCTATTTTTGCTGCTTGAAGACTGTAGTGAGACAGTAGTTTTGAAGAACTAGTTTTGTCAATCTCACTAGCTTTCTCCTGTTTTATGCACAGCAAACAGGACCAATCAGTGCTACTCTGGTGATGACCCGCCCCGTGAAGGGGCCCCGTACCATTGAGTTGGACTTGGAAATGATCACTGTTAACACTGTCATCAACTTCAGAGGAAGCTCTGTCATCCGGCTGAGGATATTCGTATCACAGTACTCCTTCTAAACCTCCACTTTGTGCCTTGGAAACATTCAGCCAAAAGAGACAGTTCCTCCTCTGCAGAACTCTCTCCTCAAAAGCCAGTACCTATAGCAGCTCCAGACCAAATCATTATTTCCACAGACCCGGTGACCTGTGCTTGTCCGAGCAGGGAGGCCTCTTCATGCACAGTTCTGACCAGGATGCAAACACCTGAAGATCCTATATGATTCTCTGTGTGGTCATGTATTTTAAGGACTCTTCTCACTGTAAACACTTCTAGGGCATGAGTCTATGTGAAAGACTGTGAACCTTTGTAGCTCCAAGGCTGCTTAGCAGAAAACACCAAAAAAACTGAGGAAAAAGCTGGCTTTTGCAATCTTGCCTTTTAAATTTTTTTTCACTATAAATGAAAAGCAGACAAACAAGCAGAAACAGAAAAAAACCCCACCTATTGAAACAAGGGACCTCAGAAGTCCTAATTTGCATTCCAAATTATCTCTGGAATTATCAATCAGGCACTTTGTTTCAATTCACCCTGCATTTGTCTTAGTTTCAACTGGTTTTTTCGTTCTATTTTATAGTTAAAATTAATTGTAAATTCATTCCAAAAATCATGTTGTACTATGTAATCTTTTGCTTTCTGATGAAGTGTCACATGTTTGGGTTCCTCTCTGTATTAAATCTTTCTATATAACAGAGTTCATAGAAATCTATCACTGGATGGTGTGTTTTACAACATTTAGGATTTCATGCTTATTTACACTCAAGATCTTTGACACAGGCCTCCACTGCCAGAATAGCATCCAGCATAAGTAGGGACTTTAGAGCAGATAAGAATCAGAATCTTATTTTTCCCTGTTTTCCAGAGTGTGATAGTAGCAAACAATTTGCAATGGCCACAAGGTAATAATACTAACCCTGTAGTTATGACTGCAAATCATCTCCTGTTCCAAGACTGCTTAGGTCAGACCTGCCCAAATTCCTTCAGAAAATATGAATTGCTTTTTTCACTTGCAATCTCTCTCCTACATTTCTAACATGGGGGGAAGTAGCTGAAAAGGACTAGGATCAGTCTTATTCATGCTTCTACCACAGACCAGACTATACCAGTACCCAGTCTCAAACAAGGGGATCCCACAGTTTCCATGGGCATTATCTTCTCAGGTATAACTGCTGTAACCAACAGAAAGTTTCTTCTAAAGTCTAATCTGAATCTCCATTGTAATCTGTTGAGTTTTAGCCTACTTCCAGTAGAAATTGAGAGCAGTTTATTTCCCATTGCAGCAACCTAACGTGTCTGAAGACTGTTGTCATGTCTCCCCTCAGACTGTTCTTCTCTAGTCTAAACAAACTCCATTCTTTTGGTCTTTCCTCATACATCACATTTTCTGGACCTTTGATCATTCTCGTTGCTCTCATCTGGATGCTCTCCAGTTGGTTCACATCTTTTTTGAAGCGCAGTGCCCAAAACTGTGAAAAGTATTCCAGCTGAGACCTCTCAGTGCTAAGCTAAATCTATATATATGTTGAATAGTTTGAAAAAAATTTTAAATTGTATAGTTGGAAGATGTAATGTGTGTTGAAGCCACTGGCACTTTGGTCCTTTACTTTAATAGAGATGAGGGTTTAATATGCCTTGTTCTTAAATTTGTCTGAAACAAGCTCTTTTGCTTTGGTTTTTCCTTACTGGCTTCTTGGCTCTCTAGCATTGCTAGAACAGGAAGGATAAACTTTGCTTTGTCTTTTGAGAACTGGAAGTGCTCAGTGCTGCTTGGGAGAAGGAGTTTACAAAGATTATAACGTGAACAACTAGGAGCAGAGTAGCAATGTGACGCCTTCATTAAAGTGGAGTATTAAATGGGAGAATACAGACCTGGAAAGTTATTGCAACACAGAGCACATGACACAATGAGAAAACTGACTCTTATTCCTAGTAAGCTTTGTGAATTGGTAGACTCTGCTCTTTTTCCTTGTACTCAGCTTGAAGGAAGCCCTGATGCTTTCAGCAATGAAACATTGAATTTAGCAGCTTCCGTTTCTTAATGGTTTAAAGGTTTTCTCTCTGCTGCTACATCTCAGGATGCTGTGCCTCAGAGCTCTGTCTTTTATTGTAAAAACAAAAAGGCTGGAGACTGACTCCAGGGTTTAGTGAGCCAAGCTGAAGGCAGAAAGCCAACAAGTTTTATGAGCAGTCAACTTGGAGGAGATAAATGCAGAGAAAATGGGCAGAGAAATATCAGAAACAAGAATTTGTTTCCCGAGTGTATCATGGCTCATCAAGTACCACAGTCTTGGAGGGAAAAATAGAGATGATCAGGAAGGAAGAATGATAATTTATAATCATGGGACTAAAAGTGCTCCTATTCCAGATGATGAAAATAAAACATGGGAAACATGCAGGCAAGGGTGGACCAGAGAGCAGTCGAGGAGCAGGCAGGGTCTTGCACTGAAGATGTCCAAGCCTTAAAATGCTGACAGCCTTCCCAGTGCTTAAAATCCCCTCTTCCCCTCTTTTTGTGCCCCTATGCTATGGCTTTTTTATGCCCAGTTGAGGAGTCCTTTCTTCCTGCCACCACATCACCTCCTGGAGTGAAGTACACCCTGCTAGACATCAGACAGTTTGTCACTTCTGGCCTGTGCTCCCATGGCCCCCACATGCCAACCTGATTTAACCCTAATTTAGAAACATCAAAACCCAGAGGAATTCCATAACAAAACACTTTGTTAAAAGAACCGAGCTTGAGTGCTTGGTTTTAGCAGGGTCCAGCAAATACTCATAAAACAATATTACACTTTCTATATAAACATTCTGCGCCTTAAAAAAAAGAAGTGAAAAGTCTGGAAACAAAGGAATTCAGCCACTTCTCAACCGCCATAACATCTTTCATCACTCACTATCACTCCAGCCAACTTAAACTTAGCCAAAATATATGCCAATCTCAAAATAATAAATTACTAGCAGTTTATAACATCTAAACTCTCTGTTTCCTAGTCAGGGGTCTGTTTTCAATAGACCCTTGCAGACTCAAATATTACAGCAATTCTCACCAAATAAAAAAGGAGGACTACGCATGTCAGGTTTTTACAGCATGAAAGTTAAAAATGTAAACTTGCAACTGCTGCTTATATCCATGATCTTCTTTGAGGCCAGGACAGACAGAAATCTGAGGTCAAAAGCAGACAGAATTCCAGGTCTGCTCTTTATTCTAACCCACTAACATGAAGAGTTTTGCTGTATGGTTACTGTTCAGTATTCTGACCAGCACCAGTGGAGGGCACAGACCCTGCTCTGGGTGTGTGTGGCCTCCCTCTGGCTCTGCTTGCTCAGGCTGGCAGAGCTGTTCCCTTGCCAAGCAGGGAAGGGACAGCTCTTTGCCTCTCCTGCCTGTCAGCTGTCATGTCTGTTTGAACATAGGTCCTCAGCAGAAAAACTGCCCTCCACTGTGTGTTTGTACAGCACCTATTGCCAGTGCAGTAACTGGAGTAAAGATAAAAGAAAGCAGATATGGCAGTAATCTTTGATACAGATCAAAATGATTGGGAAGAAGAAGCTATTCTGATAAATCAACAAATTGATTCATGCTAGTTAGGTTAGGTGCCAGAGTGAATAGAATGGGTCCCATCATCTGACTTGTTTGACTTGTTTGATATTTTTAGGGTATTGGCTTTTTTGACATAAACAACAAAATGTTATTTCACCCAAGAGTTTCCTGGATCCCATAGAATTGCTTTTCAACTGGTGATTTTCTCTGACTACAATAACTTTGTTAAAAATAACTCAACTTCTTTCGTGAACCTGGTCACCCACCATCACTGAGTGTAATGTCCAGGGCCATTCATTTGAGCTCTCTCATCTTCAGTTGGGGGCCTGTATTCATATTTACCATTTTTTTTTCCTTAGCCTTCAGAAGAGCCAACTTTTATTGTCTCATAAACATGTTATCAGTATCAGCAGAACTTGCATAATAATTTTTTTCTTGTCTAGAGTTGGCAGAACAATACAATCAGTAAAATTTGTGGTCATGAAAGTTCTCCAGTCTGGCTTATTCATAGAATATGCTACTGAATATCTTCCACAGCATGCAGCTGTATTAGAGCACAATGAAAATGTCATAACATAAAGATGTTAAAAAAAAAAAAAGGGAATAACAGTATGCCCTAATGTTATTCATTCCTGACAGGCATTATTGTCAAAATAAATCTCTATCCTGGATGGACAAAACCCTCAGGTAGTGTTAATCTGCATGATGGATGCTTTTCAATGAAAAGATAACAAGGTCCTTGGAATCTTCCCTGAGTATGTGCAAAGCACTGCACACCTATCTGTATACAAGAAAATTTACAGAAGCTACAGAAGTGCTCATGTGGCTCTGCGTTTGGAAGTCAAAGAGCTGTAAAACAAAACGACACAAGCAAATTCTGTTTCCTCGTCTGACACAAGCCCAGACAAGTGATTTATACCTGTTACATTTTGTTGTTTTAAATCTTTGAACCAATTTTGAATAGCTCAACCCCAAAGCAAGTGCCATGCATGAAGACTGAAGATGATGGCCATAACTAGACTTCTGGAGATTCTGCAGAAAGCCTGTGGCAGAAAGCCTGCCTCAGAAAGGTGACATGTGCTGAAGGGCCAGTGCCACAGGGAGTGTAATGGTCCAGAGGTATTTGTGTGGGGATGTCAGTGAGAGCTGACTGCTATCTGCACCTGCCCCTTTCCTCACCTGTTTCATTGCAGAGTGTAACTGAAGTTTTTAACTGTGCACATCAGCTGTGGAAATCTCACCTATTCCCATTCTTAGTTCAAACTTCTGAGATTCCTCTAGCGGTTTGCAAACTGATTCCCCTGGGCAACTCAACCAATACTGGTGAAGCCACATGAGGGAGAATTTGGGTACAACTTTTACACCTTTTACAACTTTTTTACCTTTTACAACTTTTTACAAGTAAATAATGATGCAATAACCTCAGTGTGAGAATTGAGGAATGTATCTGACTAGTGAAGGGATCTATAGGAAACACTACAGCAATCAAGAGCTCCTGAAATATTCAATTCCCTTTCCCATATCCCAGAGATCACTCATTTTCCCTTTGTGGTTTGTCCTGGACAAATGATTTCATTATGGTCATGCACTGCAAGCACATGCTGAGTGAACTTCCCTTCTTCTCTCGTACTATTTAACACTTGCTTTTTGGAGATTAGTTGTAGGCTATTTGTCTTTTCTAGGGCCTGACTGACCTCAATTGCTCTTCTCATATCCAGGGCAGATCCATTATTTCACCATGTTCTTCTGCATCCACCAGCTGTGCAAGCTTTTCATGTGTTTCACTGGAGAAGCAGGCACTGCCAAGTTCTGAGCACTCGTTTACAGCAAAGTATTGGCTGTGAATGGCTGAAGGGATTGCCCAGCCTGCTGATAGAGCCTGGCTTCATTAATAGGATTTAAAAAAACCCCACGAGTTCTCTGTTTTGAAGGTGAAAGATGCTCTTCTAGGTCCCAATTTTCTCTGGAAATGGCATCTGTTATTGTGTTGACTTAATAGTCTCAAGGCTTTTTAAGAAGTCTGATAAGGACATGCTTACACAACACCCTTAGGCTTTACCAACCTTAGAAGAAGTTTCTCCAATTTGCAAACAGAGTGTGTGGCCCAAATCAGAGAGAGCTCAATGTGATCATCACTACACTAAAGTCAGTGATCACTAAACACCTCACCTCAGGTCTGGATTTCACCCAGTTTTAAGCCTCAAATCTCAGTGTCAGTGTATAAATGTAAGCAGATATGTCTTATTTTTAGAGTAGAGCTGAAAGCTTCTTTCCTGTAAATAAATATGAGTATGGTTGCAGTATCTCTTTCTTTGTGGGCACTATCTTTGGCTTCTTTGAGATTTCCTGAGATAACCTTTAACATTTCAAAATTTCTTCTGGTATTTCAAGACATTCATTGATGTGTTTCAATGAGTGATTCCTCACTCCTGCTCTTCAAAGGCCAGCCCAGGCACTAGATTCTGTTTTGTTAAAACATGAAGCTACACCCAAGCCTCTGCATAGTCACATCAATCAGAATTGCTCCTCTCTGTAACCAATGAGGGGTTATGTTGATTTCCTTGAGATTCTGCAGTGTTCCATGAATGCATTTGTCCAGACTGGGCCCTTAGTCTGGAGATTGTTCATCAGCAACTTTCTGCACACGTTCTCCAACTAACACTTGAAACCATAGCTACAAAGGTTAATTTTTGACAAAAATCTTCAAAGCATGGTGTTTCTTGGTTGCCTACACATAATGCAAATGCAATTCAAAAATCCAGGACCAGAGTTCCCCAGTCTTCATGAGAAATTCCTGTTTTTCAGAAACATTTTGGTCAGTAAACTTGCTTTGTAGATCATGTCAAATGCAAACAATAAGGAAGAAGGCCTGCCAAGATTACATAGATTTGTTATTAAAATCAGCAACCCCAAGATTACTAGAATATAATTCATAATTTTAAAATATTTGTTTGGACCCTAACATCTGATGCAATTCAAGTGGTGCAGGGGGGTAGAAAAACTGACTGTTTCCAAAACAACAGCAGCTGCTGGACAGAGATCCCTGGGCTCCTACAGTGACCATAAGCACCTGCTAGCCCAAGTCTACACACCAGGTCAGTGAGGAAGAAACAAAGCTCAGAGACATAGAGATGAAGGAGAGGTCATTTCACTGACTTCTGAATGATATCAAGTGGAGATTTACATCATAATGTTTATAAAATTTCTCACTTCGTTTATACATCTGTATAAATGGAAAATTTAAGATTATCAAAATTAAAAGGACCAAGCTGGTTCCTAGCAGACATCTACTACATGCAGGAAGCTTTAGTGTGTCCCTCTGCCTTTCCTCAGGGTTGTGCTCACTTGGAATTTGGTGTGAGTTAACAATGGTGTGACAGCAGCTGGTTCACAGCAGTGTAGTCATACCCATGGATGCAAGAGAATTACAGAAGGATACAATTACAATTGAACCAGAAAGTTAATAAAAAAGAGCCTACTGATTAGTTAACCTTCAATGCTTTGGTTATGATGTAATTGACATAGACAAAAACATTCAACCAGAAACACAAAAATATTTAAAAGGAGATTATCTCTTTAGCCATGTAGCCTATAAATAGCTCTGAAATTAAAACATCCCAGACAACATCTGTAAAAGGAAGAATTCACTCCTTGACCTCTAGCATCCTTGTCTCCCACAGCAGGATTAAGCACAGTTGATCCTTATCAGGACACAGACACAATGGCTGTTTGATGGTTGAGCCAAGAAAAAGGCAGGCATGGCCAAAGGCAAGGGGGAGACACACGAAGATAATATAAAATTCCTATAGATTGCTCTCTGTGTGCAGGATCTCTGAGGTAGATCTCTCTTGCTGTACGATGCATTTTAGCTCTGCTTGGGAAATACTAACAGTCACTTCAATAAAGGGGGGGGGGGCAGGCAGGCAGCAGCATTCCTGTTTTGAATGCAGAATCAGTTGTCAAAAAAATGATGCCCTGGCCAATCTGTCACCTAATGAGATGCACTGGTTACCAGAAACCTCTAAGTACAATTTTTGGTATAGCACATTTAGTACCACCTTACACCGAGAGTTTATCCTGCAGCCAGTACAGGTGGAAGGAGGACTCACTTTCTAGCTCAAAGGATGCTCCTTAGTGTTGCTGCTGAAACAGTCATTTCCCTAACTCTTACTTGCAGCCTGTCTGGATTAATAAACATGTTATATTTTGAAGTCTTCCTTTCTTCTTATTTTTTTTAAAGAATAATTTTGTACTGTAATTTTAAAAGGATAGTTTCAATGTCCCTTATCCTGTCCCTTTAGCCTATAATCATTACTTCATTTCTAGCAGAAAATGAGCTTTTAAGTCTTCCATTGTTCTATAGCTCATTAACAATTTGCATTGAATACACTAATAGGGACTATTTTAAAGTCTTTTTAAAAAAATAAATATGTTGCTAACAAAAATTATATTTGAATTCTAGCTTATATTGATCATTAACTGGTTTAGTGGTTTTTTTACAAGATCACTGCAAGTATGCATGACAGAATTATGTAACCTATTTGGAAAGCAAGGTGAATGAGGATCAGTGATAGTGGTATACCTACTGGTCATAAACACTAGTAACATACAGGCAGTAAAGTAGTAGAGAAAACTTCAAAGCAAAATACAATTAATTTTCCAGAGGCTAATTTTTTCCACAATTTTTATGTTGTACAGTTTCCCATTCCTAGGGGTACATGTATGTATTTTACCTTCAATTTCCTGGTGGGTTTTTGTCTGATAAGGCCCAAATCAACATTGTATGTAATACTATTTTATCTGTACTAGCAGCTTGATGTATCTGAGGTGTTTCTTTCCCCTGCAGTTTCACTGAAGGATGGAGTAGGTCCCTGCTTCTGAGGGTGGGGATGGCTCCCTTGCCCAGCTCCCCCTCAAGCACCAGCCATGCTTTATCCAGCATATTTGGAGGGTGAGCAGGAGGGTGTACAGGCTGCATGCCTTGGAATTGTTCCCAGAGAATCCCAGGAGATGAGCTCTCCTCCCAGCCTGACATGGTGCCATACCCCTCTCCCAGTTGTCCTGGGTCTTTGGAGCCAATGAAGGCAGGTGTTTGTACAGTGACCATGAAGGTACCGCCAGAATTTGGCTTCCAACTGGCAGAATAAACTTGTCTCCATAACAAGTAGTGTTAAAATAAGATAATTTAGGCTGAACTGGTTTCCTCATATATAAATCATTAACCAGTGGCTAGTTCTCATCCCGCCTGCACTACGTATCTTATGACTTCAGTACAACAAAGGCTTTTCCACCCACATGATACTCAATGACCCATGCCTAATGAGGTTTGAGTTTGCTGGTTGAGTTTGTGTTTTACAGGTAGAATGTTCTTATTTCAGCAATTTGCAAGGACAGCCAAAACTGGCTCTGGTTTGCTTTGTGGAAAGTGAAGGAACTTATGTCACACAGTTGCTCTCTCACATTCTTATCACTCAAATAATTTTCTGCAAAGTGAGGTAGGTAATACGCCATTCCCTGGGCTTGTGATGATTTACAAGGCACTCAGAAAGCTGATATGCACTCAAAGGAAGTGCTGCCACTCATTTCCAGTATCACGAGG